CCTTCACCTGGACACCGACGAGGCGACCGGCTCGGTGCCCGGTCCCCGAGCCTCCGGTCCGCACCGCCGCGCTTCCCCCGAGAAGCGGCGCCGAATTTGGCGAGGACAACAACACGCGCGGGGTCGACGGCGTCCTTCCGCCGTCGAGGCGGATCGGTTTACGCGGCCTAATATTAGTCGGCGTGGCGAAGCTCGTCGCGTTTTGTCGCTTTGCGAGCGTCCGCGCCGAGCCAAGGTGGGACGCTTCTTTGCCGGAGGAATCGCTCGCGACGCACCGCCATGCCTTTGGCACCCAAAATGGCTTGAGACGGGGAGATCCGTTCCGCCGTCCAGCGAAAGAGCGTTTGTTTCATAGTTTGGACCGTGACCGCACACCTCCGGCAAAACAACATGTTGTCTTCATACGTTGTGTTGTCAAGTCGAAGTCATTTTTGGCCCGGTCCAAGCGACGGCCCGGAGCGGTCCTCCACGCCGGACGACGCGGTCTAACAATAGATGAGTGCCTTGTGTTATTTTGGGCCCGGCGGCTTTGTCGCGGTTGCTTTAAGCGCTTCCCGTGGATTCGCCTTGCCCCCGTGGCTTACTCTCGCCGTTGCTTGAATAACCCACGAGCCGGCGTCATTTCATGTGGCCCAAAAGCCAATCGCCGCCTTCACGTTCCGTGCTGAAATCGGGACCCAACTTGCCGATCGTGTTGTTGCAAGTTTGAGGGGGCCCCATCCGGCCCGCGCCTTCGGTGTTTCCCCTCCTGCGACCGAGCTGCTTGAAATGACGAGGATCCCCTTATGGGGCTTCCGCCGAGCTCGCCGGTGAGCCGACCGTCGGCATGGGGCGTGTCGGAGGAGGCGAACGTGTCAAACGGGCTCTCCGGGACCGGACCCTTCCGTGCCGTGTCCGTCGGCCGGCTTGACCGAAACCAGCCAAACGGCCGTACGTGCGCTCGAATCCCGCCCCGCTCCTCCGATTGTGCACTTTGTCCTCCTGGTCTCTCCGCAGTTGGACATTTGCCCCGCGCGCACCCAGAGAGGCGCCACGGGGGGCGGCTGACGCTTTGCTGGAAAGCCGCCGGCCGAGTCGTCCCGAAGGAGCCGAGTCCGGCTTTGGCCTTCACGCGGCTCGCTTTCTCCGGCCCAAATTCGGGTGGGTGCCGGGTGGCTTTGTTTTCAAAGCGACGCCAAGCCCGACGGGTCGCGTGGATGAGCCGCGGGACGGCGCCGTCATCTCTTCTTTGGGCAGCGGCGGGCGGCGCAAACGGCAAAACGGTTGGTGCGAACCGGCGACGCCAAACAGCCGCGCGCTCGGGACGACGTTCCGAAACGCGTGCGGACACCGGCGATCGGCTCGAGCGGGTCATAGTGCGGAGCGGGATTGACGAGGCGGCGCGTTGGGATTTAAGCGTGCGCACAACGGTCCCTCTCGGAATCGCAAGGGAAAAGCCGGCTCAGCTGCGCCTCGTTGCGTTCCGCGTCGTAGCGGCCAGTCTCGGCGAGTCCAATTTGTTGGCGCAAAAGCCTGCGATACCTTTTTCAAGCCTCTTCGACCGCAAGCCCGTCGAAGCCCAAGACGTGCCGAAGACCCGCCTCGGCCTTATCCGCCCGAGGTCAATTGTTGCCGCAATTGCGTGAAATCAAATAACTCAAGTCAGTGGAGCACAAAAGGGGGGCAAAGTCCAATCTGCCCTCCGAGTTTTGCAGGGCTCATTTTTTGAGGACGACGACCGACGCTCCGACGGCGGCCGCAAAGACGTTGGCGTGAGGGCGGCGCGCCGGGAGCGGAAAAGGTCGAGAAGAGCCCGCGTGTGGGAAATGGATGGCGTGCGGCCTCCGACGATGCGGTCTCGGGCGCAAGAAAGGCCGTCGTCGCTTTTTGCCTGTGGCCCAAAGGGAAGGGCCGCGCCGGAGTAAGGAGGGGTGGAAAAGGGGCAGGACTCGAGGAACCCGAGTTCCCGCGCCGTAAATGGTGGCCGGTGGAAAAGGCGAGCTGGGGTGGCCCCCTTTTTTTTGGTTTGGACATGGCGGCAAGTGTGAACGCGATGTGCGCGCGTGGCGTTCGAAGTCACGTGGGTTCCGGCCCCGGCGGAGCTCGTCCGTGTTGCGAGAGCGCTTGATGCAAGCAAGCAACTTTTGCCCCCCACCCCCACATGAGAGATGACGAACGGCGCGGCGAGCGCGCGTCGGCTTGGGCCCCATCGCTGGGCTTTCCGCTCGCAACTGGCCATATTCGGGGCGCGGGGAAGCGGGGGGGATTAAAGAAGCTGAGCTCGGCGCGGCGCGTTCTCACCCGTTACGGTCAAATCAAGCGAGGCGTGACTCAAGCCTCATCCCCGTCCTGACGGGACGGGATGGCCTTATTTAGCCTGCGCACGCTCGCATCCGCTCGGCAAACCCGGAGGACCGAGCGCTCGGGTTTTCGATGGCCCTCGCGCGCACCGGCTTGGCTCGCTCATCCGGAATGAACGAGCGCCGGCGGGGAGACGGAAGCGCGGCGCGTCGGGACGCTGCGGGATTTCAAATATTTCCCAAGTCGGGATGAGCGCTCTCGCCGGCCACCGCGGTGAGCGGAGGGGCCGCCGCGACTTCGTTTGCCGCGTGAAAGCGAGCCGAAGCGGGTCGTCGTCTGCTGCGCTCGGGTCCGTCCGTTCGTTCGGGGGAAAGCCTGCGTGGGCCGGGGACGGCGCCGTGCCCGCGCTCTGGACTGGCCCCTTCATTAGTCACTATTTCCCATCCCAATTTTTTTTTTCTGGGGCGGGGGGCAAAAAAGCGGCTGCTTTGTTTTTTTCCATCTCATTTTCCCAATGCGTTCGGCCCACCGTAAATTGGATGCGGATTTCCGCTCTTCAGGAATCGAGTTTGTCCAGATTTCAAACGGCCTTTTTGTCACGTATGCGCTTGGGAGGTGCCTGGCCCCATGCGGGGCCCCCGTTAGGGAGCGCCGAGGCAAAACGGTGGCCCTCCCTTCCCTTCTACTTTGCGTTCTCGGGTGATTTTCAGTGCGCGGCTATTTTTGAGCTCGGCCCAGATGGCCGCCTGAAAGGCGGCGAAAGTTCCTCGTGCGTGAGCCAAAATAGGGCGGATATAACCCCTTTTTTCTTTCCGCCCCCCCCCCCCCCGACCCCGGAGAAGGCTCGAGCAGAGTCCAAGACGTCCCCGTCGTCCGACGCGGTCCCAGACCCGCTCCGGCCAGAAAAAAAACAGGTCAGGCGTCGCCGTCCGCGATCGCGACCGGGCGGCTCGGCTCGCCGCCGTATCAGGACGGCCGCGTGCGCTCTCGTCAGGACGAGGCGGAGGAGAAGGCCCGGCCGGTGCAGATCCTGCGTGCCGAGGAGGAGCGGCGCGGCTTCGAGCTGGATGCCGGCGCGCTGGAGGAGATCCTGCTGCAGGAGCGCGTGCGCGACCTCCCCGTAGCGGTGGTGTCGGTGGCCGGCGCCTTCCGCAAGGGCAAGTCCTTCCTGCTGGACTTCATGCTGCGCTACATGTACAATCGGGTGAGGCCCGCCGGGCGCCCGCTCCGTCGCCGTCGCGGGCGAGACGCGGCCCGATTCGCCACGTTTGCGCTTTGAAGTGTGAGCTTTGCGCCCCCGCAGCAAAACGAGCGCTGGATCGGCGGGGACGACGAGCCGCTGACGGGCTTCACCTGGCGGGGGGGCTGCGAGCGGGAGACCACGGGGATCCAAGTGTGGAGCCACGTCTTCGTGGCCGACGAGCCGGGCGGCGGCCAGGTGGGCGGGGCGCCGGCCCGGGGATGCGGGAGGAGGCGCGGCGTTTGACGCTGTCCCCGTTTCAGGTGGCCGTCCTCCTCGTGGACACGCAGGGAGCCTTCGACAGCCAGTCCACCATCAAGGACTGCGCCACTGTCTTCGCCCTCAGCACCATGACCAGCTCGGTGCAGGTTCGCTTGGAACAAAAACAAAAATGACAACAAGCCGGCGATCGAGGAGCCGCGGCGCTCGGGAATCACGCTTTGTCGCCTTCCTCCTCAGGTGTACAACCTCTCGCAAAACATTCAGGAAGACGACCTGCAGCACCTTCAGGTCGGTCCCGTTTTGTCCGAGCGCCGGTGAGCCGCGGCTGAACTTTTGCCTGACCCCTCCCCGCTTCCGCAGCTCTTCACCGAGTACGGCCGCCTCGCCTTGGAAGAGGTCTACTCGAAGCCTTTTCAGGTGCCCGCCCGCCCCGC